CCGAAATCACGGACATTCATAAATTATGAATCCATGGCTGCACATTCACTTTGGAACCATGCCTACACATTCACTTTGGAACCATGAGATTATGAATTTTCTGTTATGAGATTATGAATTTTCAGTTATGAGATTATGAATTTTCTGTTATGCGATTATGAATTTTCTGTTATGAGATTATGAATTTTCATTACATTCATAATTTCGGACATTCATAAATTATGAATTCATGCCTGCACATTCACTTTGGAACCATGCCTACATATTCCCGTCCGAAATCACGGACATTCATAAATTATGAATCCATGCCTGCACATTCACTTTGGAACCATGCCTACACATTCACTTTGGAACCATGAGATTATGAATTTTCTGTTATAAGATTATAAATTTTCTGTTATGAGATTATGAATTTTCAGTTGTGAGATTATGAATTTTCTGTTATACGATTATGAATTTTCTGTTATGAGATTATGAATTTTATGAAAATTCATAATCTCATAACAGAAAATTCATAATTTGATCAAACGCGCGCCGTTAACTCCACATCCGCGAAATTTTTTTTTTTGGCCTAAAAACGACGTTATTTTGCCTTGTGTTCACCATTCTCCGTGAACACGATTCCATGGCATAATTTGCGTGTGTGAACATCTCCAGAGATTGCTAAGGGCATTTATCATTTTCCGTTGTATTTATCAGAACTCCAAATATTGAGGGAATTAAATTATTGGTGGAGCCACTTTAAAGAAAGAAAGAACAACAAGAAAAGCTAAGGGCATTTAGAAGATAACTCAAACAAATATCTTGCCAGAGCTTTCTGAGAGTACAGTTCCATATGGGTGAAGAACAGCAGAGATTGCTGGATAACACAAGTAAGTTAATTCCTCACCTACATCTTAATTACCTTTTTGTTTCTTTTATAAATCTGGTAAAAAATTAAAGGGGCATATTATGTATGTTTGAGCTGCAGGTTATGAAGCTGTGGAATTTGGGGGTGAAATAATCAAAGTTTCTAAATCTACTGATAAGGGAATTGATTCATCATCGATTAATGTCAACTGGAAATGGTGGTTTGAGATAGCTTTCCATACAGTTGTGACCTTATCAGGCTTAGAAGCTACTGTTCTCTTGTCAAGAATTTACTATGACCAAGGAGGTAACAGCAAATGGCTCATGGCTTCAATCCAAACTGCAGGCTTCCCCTTCCTCATCCCCTTTATCTTCTTCTCCAAAACTCATCCTAATTCTTCTTCTTCTTCTTCTTCTTCTTCTTCAGACCCACCACCTTATTCTTTTCTGCTTCTGGCTTTAGTTTCCACTCTTCTTGGTTTGCTCGTAGCAGCAACTGATGTTTTCTATTCACTTGCCTTAGAATACCTCCCTGCCTCTACTTATACCCTTCTTAACTCATCCCAGTTAGCCTTCACTGCCCTTTTCTCTTTTCTCCTTAATGCCCAAAGCTTCACCCCTTACATAATCAACTCCGTCATAATCCTCACCTTCTCCCCTATGCTCCTCATCTTCAGCCCAGACACCACATCATCGTCCGAGGTAGCCTCTAATAAGGATGAGTACATGTTGGGGGTTCTGTACACAATCGCCGCGTCTGCTTGCCCTGCACTTATCTTCTCCCTAACCCAACTCGTATTCGAGAAGATCATCAAAAGGGAAACCATAAAAGACACGATGATTCTCACTGTTTTGCTGTCTTTTGTGGCCACGGTTGTGACCCTTGTGGGGCTGTTTGCCAGTGGAGAGTGGAAGGGTCTTAGGAGAGAAATGGAGGATTACAAGCAAGGGGTGTTAGCCTACAATCTGGTCTTGTTTTTCAGTGCTGTTGCAAGCCAGGCTTACATTGTTAGCTCTTATACCTTGACTTTTAAGGTTTCGTCCTTGTTTTCCAACGTTGTTATAAGGTTGGCCACTCCTCTGACTCCATTGCTGTCCATGTTGTTCTTGAATGAAGAGATGAGTGGGTTGAAGGTGATGTCCTTGCTGTTGTCTGTCTGGGGATTTGCTTCTTATATTTACCAACAATATATTGATGATTTGGAGGCTACAAGTAAGTGTACAGTAAAGATATCAGATCTCTGATCTAAGAATGGATCTATTGTTTTAATGTTTCCATTTAAAGGCACATCATCATCACATGTACCAAATTTTATAAATATACTGTAATATAATGTTCATTCCCAAAAGAGTTAATACCCAAAATGGTCCCTCGACTATGCCATAATTACCAATTTGGTCCTCAACTACCATTCTTACCCAATTAAGTCCTCAACTATGTAACTTTTACTCAATTAAGTCTTCAACTATACAATTCTTACCCAATTTAGTCATCAACTATACAATTCTTACCCAATTTAGTCCTCTGTATTAATTTGACTGTTTGTTGACTGTCAAAAGTCGGGATAAAATTATAATTTTACAAGATTTCTCCTTCCTCTCCATTTAGCAGCGCCAAACCATGCAGCAATACACTCCGATCAGATTTCGATCGTCAAAAAATCGTTGGAAATCAAATTCATGGGCTATCCGATGCATAACCACTACTTCGATACTGACAGGTTTAGAACCCAATCGGAGCTTATTGCTACATGGTTTGGCGCTGCTAAATGAGGAGGAAGGAGAAAACTTGTAAAATTACAACTTTATTTCCACTTTTGACAGTCAACAAACAGTCAAATTGACAAATGACTAAATTGGGTAAAAATTGTATAGTTGAAGACTTAATTGGGTAAGAATGATAGTCGAGGACCAAATTGGTAATTACGACATAGTCGAGGGACTATTTTGGGTATTAACTCTTCCCAAAATCTGATCTATTTTAAAGAAATTCTACAACAGGGAAGAGTGGTATTTTATTGTTTGTTCCTATTTATATATTGACTAGTTACCACACAAGCATTGTGCGCATTGTCGCCCAAGGTGTATTTTAAAATTAGTGTTTCAGAATTTATATCAAAGTATCATTCGGTATTCTGGCGTATATCAATGAAAGATTATTAAATTTTCATAAAAGTAAATATTTCAAAAATACATAATTATACTATGACCTATGGTAGAAATGTTGGAGTAACGAGTGCAATAGCAATTTTAGAGGGAAGCATCACTAGATAATACCTTAAGCATAGTTTTTGCAACATAAACCCTAAGCACTGTGAACATTCAGTATATAAATTGTGTATTTTGACTTAGGTCCACCTTGCAAGGTGGACCCAGGCCCATGGCATAACTGTCGTTCTACCCAACAATCCGTGCTATCAGGGGCGGAGCTACCCCTTGGGGCCCCATTTTTGTAAATATATATGTATATATTATTATAATATGGATAAATTACACTTTTGGCCCATCCTTTTTAAAAAAAAAAAAAAATCTATTATGTATATTAGTATATACTAGTAGTTGCACCCGTGCGGTGCACGGCAATATGTATACATAATTATAAAAAACTTAATGGATAGCGAAGTTGTTGAAATTTTATTAAACATTATTGAATACTTCTCTGTATACTACATTTGTAGTGGTTTTTTTTTATTTTACATTTTCATCCCAAATAAGAATTTTTAATCCCTTCGGATTACTCACTCTTGACACTGCTACATACAATTGACCATGATTAAAAACCGGTCTCTTCAAAAACAAACCGACGTTGGAGAGTGTCTGGCCTTGGCTTTTATTTATTGTCATTGCATATGACAACATTAGTGGGAATTGCTTCCTTTGGAACTTAAAAGGCAATCTTGGATCAGAAGGTGTTAAGGACATTCTTGGAATTAGGACTTTTGTACCGGCACTTGCACCGCATAGTATTTGAGCTTCTAACACATGATCAGCCAACTTTGTAATTATCATTCTTGTACCATTGCACAACCCCAATGAGTGATCAATATTCCTCAGAAGCATAACTGGAGACCCAACTTTTAGAGTCAATGAGTGATTTGGCACTCCTGAACACCTTAATCCATTTAAAAATTCAGGAGTGTGCAGATCAGCAAGCATGTCAACATTTGAATCTGATTTACAGACCGAGTCACAACTGAGATACGTCCTTCCTTCTGAATTATTGTAGTCATTCATGTATTCATTTACTGCATCCACAATATCCAGTGTTGGTGCCAAAATAGCACGATCTTTTAGATATTGAATATCACTATGACCTCTGCGAAACATAGGGAATATGCTATCAACAATTGTAGAAATTGGATCCTCAGCACAAGTTAGCACAAATTCTTCAGGAATATTTATCTCACATTCTCCATGCAAAGACTCACCAATTGTTCCATCACCGATATTAGCAATCCACGTTGCAAATTTTTCAATCTGTTGAACATCAGTTTCTGATTGCAATGACCTTAGCCTGAGATTCTTTGTTAGCCTAAATACTTTACAGCTTCTCCAAAGATATGATGCATTGACACTTGCTCCAACGATATCTTGCCTGGTGCCCTTTGGAATGACTGGTAGAATCTGTCTGAAGTCTCCACCTAACACCACGGTTTTTCCACCAAAAGTCATATCCAAGCTATTTGGATTTTTGGCACGCATGATATCTCTCATACTACGGTCTAAAGCTTCAAAGCAAAACTTATGCATCATCGGTGCCTCATCCCAAATGATCAACTTACATTGCACTAACAATTTTGCCAAAGGACTGCTTTGACTGATGTTGCATGTTGAATCTTCATTAACAGCAATTGGTATTGAAAATCTAGAATGCGCAGTTCTACCTCCTGGTAATAGAAGCGATGCTATACCACTTGATGCCACATTTAAAACTATATCACCCTTTGACCTTAAAGCAGACGACAATGCTCTCCATAAGAACGTTTTCCCAGTTCCACCGTATCCATAAACAAAAAACAGCCCTCCAAGATCGTTCTCAGCATCTTGCAAAACATTTGCATATATTGCCCTTTGCTCTTCGGTGAGTTGATGCACCAATTTTTCATTCTCTTCCTTCATGACATTAATATCATATGCTAATTCCTCTTGTATCATACGCTCGGTGGTTCTATCATAATCTCTAAATCCGGCATTGGCATCAACGGAAAGTCTTTCAAACTCTTTCCGATAGCAGAAAGCATTATTTCTATCTCGCGAAGTGCGAAATTCTTTTTCTCATCTTCAGATAAAATCAAATCTGTGATAATGTAATCAATCGCATATTTTAAGTATGTGTATACAATAAATCTGTACAAAGTGAAATTACATTTATAAAATTTTACCTGTAATCCCCAATTGAGCTCTAATTTTGAATTGTGCATCCTCAGCCAAATAGTGCCACGCAGCTTCCCACACAACTTCAGGTTTAGCCATTGAGTTTGACATTAATAGTGTGACAAACAATCTTCTCAAATTAACACCGGTCGCCCATTGACTTGCTTCTACTATAGCATGAACATACTCCTTGTCGTCGTCTACTAATCCCCTGGCAGAACACGCATCCCTAAAAGAATCATATTGCACACCATCTACTGTTTTTATGTCCAAAAAACTCGTGGGCCCTTTTACTTTATTCAAAAGACATCTCAAATAAAATATCTCCCCTGTACCAGGTGGCACATAGAAAAGTCTACCGATGGCAAATCCTATTTTCCTTGGTTGCCATTTCCTAACATCTTTCTTCCACACAAATTTAGTGGGCATCTCGGCATATGTAAGTTGTTTTGCATCTGGGTAGGTTTTATTAGCCTCAAACCATTCTAAGAACATGCTTTGCAAAATTGTTGGACGGCTGAGAATGTTATCAACAGGATCGTCATCTGCGAATATAACACTTTGCTGATTGGGCAAGTGAAAGCTCAATCGCTCAACAGATGGTGTCCTTAATTGTATATCAAATCCAAACAATCGCCAAGCTGCTTCACACGGAGAAATATACCGACAGTCATAGAACATATTGATTTCATCGATCACTTTTTGACTTTCGTCATCGCTGTTGGATTTGTAAAACTCTGCGGTAACCCTATCATGGCCCTTGTTTACGTACTTGAACAAATAATTGATTGACCGGGATTGATTACACCATTCCACATTAATATGAGCCCTATACTTCAGTAACAAATGTCTGCTGTGTGGTACTACGTACCTATTATCCAACTCAATACCGTTGCGCATGACAGACCTGCCATTGTCTCTTCTGCGGTATATAGGATACCCATCCTCGTCCACAGTTGATGTATTAACAAACTTCTTGGGAAAGTGTTTAGTACACTTACCATTTGCCATACATGGAGAAGTCATCCGTGCTTTCCCGCAAGGTCCATGCATCATAAACTCCTCAACAACTTTGAAGTATTCTGGATCTCTTTCTTGGTCAGGTAATTTAGCTGAAATGATGTTGTCCAGATTTATCCCACTTTCTGCTCGATTGTTTTTATCCAGAAACAAAAGTATATGAGCATGCGGTAGTCCTCTTTTTGGAACTCTATAGTATAGATCACTGTTAACAAAGAAATTGCAACATTCATCATATAATATATGGGTAAAATTGTTAAATTCGTATGGATTAAAAACTACAACATTAAAATAGTATATTATTTTGACACGTACCTCCAATGACTGGGCCAAATAACTTGTTCTTTCGGCATTCTGATAGTAGAGCATCCAACTTCAATTTGAATATTCTACATATTATGTCTGGACGATCTTCTGGCCTGAGATTTCTTGAACTCAAGAACCGTTGTATCTCAGGCCACTTGGGGTTGCAAGTAAACGTGATGAACAAATCTGGATATCCAACCCATCGGCAAATCGCCATTGCGTCCTGGTAATTTTGTATCATGTATCTAGCACCATCGGTAAAACTCGAAGACAATATTATTCGTTTTCCTTGAGCAGTGGGGTCAAGTTCACCTCTTGTTAATGCATCATTCAAGCAATTATATGATTCGCATCTCAAACTTTTTTGATGCGTCCGTATATATATCAACCTTCCGGACTCAACCATCGTATAGGCATCAACCAGGAATTGTTGGAATAGCCTTCTTGCATGCAACAATGTTGAAACTTCTGCTGTCCTAGACTGGATACGGTAAGAAAAATATTCTCGAGGGCTTATCCTTTGACGACCACCAGATGTGTTCCCCTTTATCGTTGAGAATGGAATGTCCTCCCTATAACCGTCTTCACCATAAGGAAACAATAAAGGATATTGCATTGGTAGGTAAGCTGGATTTAACTCAGTGATTCGTTGCAAGAGACCGCTCTTGGTTTCAACCAGAATGTCGCGTTCACCAATATTAGTATCGATATCACCAACAATCAACGCAGCAACCTCTGAGACCTGTGGCAAGTTGTATGTCCTAGCATCCCTTGATCTCTTACCCAGCAATTTTATCTTAACCTCAGCGGTCGGGTTTTTTTGTAGTTCATCTCGTGCCATGCGAAAGGTTTTGACCAACACATTGTGTTCATCCAAAACAGATTGAATCACATTGACAATCTCAACATGAATGTCGTTTCGCTTACCGTCTTGCCTAAAATATAAAACGGTGAACAATTAGATTTGTAATAAAACTACATCATAACAACATTTATAACATCAAATGCAACAGACTTACCTAACAGAATTGACACGGTTGTCCATTTCATTGTTGGTATCATAGATATACAGCTGCGCGAAATGCGGTTTCATGCCATCTACCGGCAATAGACTGCCAATGTAATGGAATTTCTGGCCATTTATACGGAAGATTGGGGGACCACCGTTTCGGTCTATTTTCCCACCCATCGAAGTGAAGCAGAACATACTATTGTATGTTCTAATGTTGTGTAGAAATTCCTTGTTCTTTTCTGATTCTCCAAAAAAAAGATCATATATCGGTTGTGGGGGCATCAGCATGTATGGCAATTGAATCTTACCATTGTTGCAACACAAGTTATATTTTGGGTGGCCGCGGTTATCTGTTTTGTGTGTCCTTTCTTCGTACCAAAACAGCGCTCCACAGTGCTGACATGTTATATTTGCATCACCAAGATCTTGGTATTCCACTAAGTAGATAATTAAAATAAAATAAATCCAACTGCACTAAGTTTATTAAAACACCGTAATATAGCAAACATTCCAGTATTGTAAGCAGTTGGATATGTACCTTGATAGCTATTTGTTGGCTCATCACCGACGTGGCTACCATTTGAAGTCCCAACTGTCGAATCAATTCGTACTGTGACTTGGTTTGTGCATGCAGTCTCAAAAAATGGATTTGTACCTACCATGTACATAATTAATTTTTTTTTTGAAATGTGTACAAACCTCCACAAAATATGGTAATGACATTGTTACCATTTACAAAATAATTACTTACCATTTTCACCATGATGTACTTTCGCGGTTTTTGAAATAGTGTCCATATTGGAAACTTCTTCAAAATCTTGGAACAAATCCCGGTTGACAACATTACACTGGATAATAGTTTTACCCTTATCCATGCATTTTCTTTTGTTGCAATGTGTGTTACCTAAAAAATATATACTTTACAACTTAGCTAGCAAAATTTAATAAACATTTATTAATTTGTATAAAATGACGTAATAAATACTTACCATTGGATATATCATTTAGAGGTGGGCGTTTGTTCTCAGAAATTGTGTGGGTACCTTTTATATAACCAATTAAACATGGAATTAAAAAGAAATTTTTTTTTAGCATGTAACTGGAATACAAACAATTAAGTAATTGTGGTATAAAATGTAAAAACTCACCGTTAATTATATCGCTTTTTGCACTCGAAGAGAATGTATTTCGGGATCCTAAAAGAAAATGCCTTGATTTACTGTTGCTGGTTGTATATTCCGTACTACGCGTACTAATTTGTATATCCAAGGATTCTATATTAACTGAAAAAACATAACACGTTTGTCATATGTTATCTACTGTAAAGAAATTTTGTAAAAACTTTAAATAGTTTACCTGTTGTGAGAGCACTTTTTGGCCTCTCACTTGAATTACAATACATTTGTGGTGTGTATTCCATTTGCGGATCATTCATATTTTCTTGTAGCATGGTATTGTTGTTCTCAACATTTTATGCAAAGGCAAAAATTATACAATAAATAACTAACATAATTATTGTTTGATTTATAAGCTATATATTATAAGAATTAGTGCACTTTTAAAAACATAAATACATTAACCATGGTACACACAGTACCGCGATACATAATTAAAAACAAATTTTAAAAGTGCAAAATAGAAAGTCGAAGTGGGAACATTTTTGAAAAATTTTACAACGTATGTATTATAGTGAATTAAAACTATTAGAAGCTAAGTATTATATGAAATAAGTCATGAATTAGCATCGTCAATACATTGACCGTGGTCCACACATTAACGTGAACCATAATCAAAACTACAAAAAAAAAAAAAAAAGGCAAATGCAAATAATGTACATCCATTAAAAAAGTAATGTACCTTATATACGGAGAAACTTAAAACAATTAATCTGAATTCATAATCACCTATTTTTATTTTCGTTAGTTATTATTGAAGGATGGCTTGTATAATAATAGATGCATTAATAAAAATTGAGAATACATTAACCATGGTCCAATAAATATACCGTGTAAATTACAAGCAAAAAATAAGTGCTCTTAATGGTAAGAAATTTAAACACTATTAGAAGCTAAGTATTATATGAAATAAGTCATGAATTAACATTGTCAATACATTAATCGTGGTCCATGTAGTAACGTGAACCATAATCTAAACTAAAATAAAAAAATTCAAAATGCAAATAATGTACATCCATTAAAAAAGTAATGTACCTTATATACAAAAATACTTAAAAAAAATTAATCTGAATTCATAATCAACTATTTTTTTGTACAAACTTATTATTGAAGTATGGGTTTAAAATCTGCAAATCTCTATAATTAAACTTTCCCCTAATCAAACCCAATATATAATGATTTTAATACATAGCCCAACCATTCCCCCATGTTTGATAACCCATACCCGGCCCACTTCTTACCCATAACACTCCCCTCACACCCTCCTTCCTCCCAGCTACCTCGCATCCATATCCGAATGCGGACATCCCTATTTCTTTCTTCGCTCTTGAGCTTTGTACAATTTCAGGCAATAAGCTTCATGTCCTAAAGATCTTCATGACCTTTAACATCCGATGAGGATGGATTTTCAAAACCCTATCTTCATTTCAATATTTATCAGTCGATCTTCGTTCTCATTCGAAGATCGTGGATTTGAGTGCCCGATATTCGTTTGTTAATCGAAGATTATACTATTTTGTGGGCGCTTTCGTTTTCACTCTTCCAATATGAAATTGTGTTGCCAGATCGTCGTTGTTTACTCGGAGATCTTCGATTTGAGTGTCGGATCTTCGATTTTGTTCCTGTCGCTTCGTTTTTAGTAGGCGATCTTCAGATCAATCGGAAGATTTGGGGTTTGATTAGTCCATCTTCGTTTACAATCGTATTTTGAAGATTCTCTGGTTGATGTCACGATCTAGATACAGAGCACTGTAATCTTTCAATCCAGACGCTATGAGATAAGTTACCTACAAATTGTATTCTATCCCTATGTTCTATCGTATACTATCAGAAGTTGCTTGTAATTAACATTTTTTTAAAAAAAAATTTGCAGATCTGTGTACAAATGTGGTACAGTGTTCATCACCGTAGAAAGACAGTCCAGGAATTTTTCGACCATTCGTCGCTCAGATAAGTGTAATCGAAACAAATTTGAACCTAAAATCGTAGATTAGGAGAGAGATTCATCATATTATTTCTTAGGGTTTCAACTAACTTAAATACTCTTATCTTTTAGGGGAGCAGTGTTCATAATTGGTTGCATAAGAGAAAGATGGGAAGATCAGGATGCATAATAGGCTGTGGTCATTGAAGTAAAAGCAGAAACTGGTAAACTTAAATTAAGAGTTTTAAGAGTGTAGAATATACCTTGATTGTTGATTATGTGCTTCCTTTGGCTCCTTATTAGTGTAGATGAATTAAGTTTCCTAATGTCTGATGTTGTTTTGGATCTTTCAATAATGATTTGTGAGTGTAGTTTGAGCATGCATATTTGCTATATTTTGAATGCTTTAGTGGTTGCTAATCATTAATGTTTACACATGTACTGAAATGATTATGACTGTTCAGTTTTTTTGGGAAAACCAAAATGTAATAGTGTAATGCTGTCATTGAATACACATGTTTCTCCTATCAGTAATGCACTTATTCTTTTTACAAATATACTAACACTGTTTTTAGTATTGGGCAAATGATGAACTTATAATTCTGATGCAGTTACATGAAATTTTTAGAATCTGTCTGTATATTTCTAACATTTTTATTTTCAAATTACAACTTATGTGGTTTTTAAAGCCAAAGAGCATTGTGTTTCCAATTTTATATTGAGATTCATTACATTTTTAATGATAGATTACATACTAAGTGCTTAAATACTTTGTTGTCACATTTGTTACTTATATTGTTAAAGTTGCTATAATAGAATCAGTTAAAATCATTTTGTTCGTTCTTGATTCTTTGGCAAATGATTAAACTTTGTTTGTGATCCATATGTTAAATGACTAAATTACATTTACTATTTGTAGTCTTATTTTTTTTTTTTTGACATTTTTTTGGCACAGCAGTTGAATACTTGGCAGTGCTGACAGATTCTTATATATCACAGATTCTACATTTTCAGATTACAAATTAGTATATTATATAGTATGTATTAGGGGATGAGTATTTACTCTCCAAGTTTATAAAACTTTACTTCTGTAAATTGTAGATTTTAAATGTTTAAATCTTAGATCCGTTGAGATCAGAAATAGTACTGTATAGTGTACTTTTTATACAAATTGACATGGAAAAGATTTGGTCAATTACAATTTTTACGGTTTGATTTGGTAATGTGATAAAAAGCGTTGTTAGCTTTTTCTGGTACTTTATAGGCTCAAAGATGTATCACATTTTGTAAAACATGTATAAAAGTTTCATTCCTACATTTTTCTTACTTTTTAATCGTATATTACTAATGATAAGGTTCCCTAATCGTATATTACTAATCGTATATTACTTGTCAAACAATCACAGACCAAAACTTCTCATATGATAAGGTTTTGTATTTATTTACAACAATCACAATTATATAGGATTTTCAGAAAGCGAAAATATAATAATTTTTGAATTGACGAAGTCAAAGTTCATTTTTGAAGTACATATGATTGTTTAATTACATTGTTCACAGCTACTTCCAACACTATATTTTTAAGTTTGTAAATGTTTTTTTCTACTGTTAGCCTTTTGTATACTGTTAAACTTAATAAATTAGACTTTATTCAAAACAATTTACTCTACATATTCTATTATATAGTAATATGTAATTATACTGTGATCATTTTAATAATTTGTATACAATTTTGACCTTAAAGTCTAATTTATATTTCACTTAACCAAAGATAATGATAATTGAAATTCACCAAAGCTATATCTGGATTTATTTTAGTTGATATATTTGGGTTTAATTGTTTTAGTGCTATCATTGACTATTTGCTTTTTGAATTGACAAAGTCAAATCAAATTTGTATACACTTTTCACTTTCAAAGTGTAGAATATAGGATTATCTAACTAATCTGTTAAATGTATTATTTTGGTTAGAACCTAATTTATGTAGGACTATCCTTTCACTGAATGTATATGTGATTAATTTCAAATTTTTCTTTTATTAACATCATTAGTGTGTTTGATTGAATACATGTTTGCCAAGTTACTTTCTGCTTAGTTTGGTAATGATTCTATTGAAATTCTTTTGAGTCTGAAAATAATATAGAAAAATGTATATAGTGCAAAATAAATAGTTTTATTACAATCTATATTACAATAAATTACAGAATCAGTACATGACTATAGATTTATCACATAGGTAGAAGTAAATTGGTTTAAAAGCTTTTCTGGTAAAGTGGTTTGTTGTGCTTCATTCTTGACCTGATTGGGACTGGGTTTGCTTCCTTGTCTGTAGTTGCTACTTAGATTGCTTGCTTGTTAACTTAATTCTTCCCCTGCATACAGATTCATATATCTAACCAAATAAAGAAATAAACAGTGTAATCAAATTAAGCATAGATTTAAGCATAGATAAACCAAAAAGAAAAATAGTCAAACTGACTACAAATGTTCATATGGAAACAAACTGGCATTGTTTTAGAAATGAAAATAGATAGTGTGCAGGCCAAAACATTAGTTTGAAAACAGTAAAACCACAAAACATGTGGTAACAGTCTGTATTAACCAAGATCTTAAACTTTTTCCTTCTTAACAACAACATTTTTCCCCTTCTTCCTTGAGGAGGAAAATTGATCCAGCAGCGATCTCTTAACACCATTAGAATCATCAGTCTCAAGGTCTACACTTTGAGAGTGCTGTATACTCAAGGGGCTGTTGACCTCATTCTCTCCATTTGAAGCCTCCTATATACATGAAAAGTTTATTTAATTAGTCAAACACATGTCATAAGAAGACTTAAAAATGTAAGTATAGTGTATACTTTATTAAAAATAAGAACCTAATAAGATTCATCATCTTCTTCCTCGTCCTCATCTATCATTTTTGTCATCAAGTCCTTCTCTTGGTCTTCAATAAGGTTAGAACAATAGGCAGAGACTAACACTTCATCCCTTAGTACTCTCATCACAGTGTAGGCTGAATTAGCTCCCTTCATGAACTCCATCTTTAATGATATCTTAAATATCATTCGCATACCAACTAAGGATTCCAATTCTGCTGGAATGTCTGAAACCTAAAATAAACAAAATAGCATACTTAGAGGTGAAATAGATTAACACAGCTGCTAATAAGGTATTAAATTATAGTGTTGTATGAATTTACCTTATTATACTTGAGGTACAAACTGTGTGCTGGGATACCAACTAATTCAGAACACTCCCTATCCCACAAAAGGAAGGGAGCATCTTTTTGACCTTTATCAAGAACAATCACTTTCACTCTATACCTTGCCATGCCTTCTTGATACTTCTTATTACAGTGCGTACAACTGAAATCACCTACTTGGCCAGACAGTTTTCTGTTACATCCTGGTGACATGCATGAGATGTACATCCATCCAAATGACCCTTCAATTCCCACTATTTCAGCAGGCACATAGAATTCCCTATTCTGCCATAGGAAATGTAACTTGGTTAGTATGTATTATAATGACAAATAATTACTGATCTTACTTGACTGTATTAATGATATCAACAATTTAAGAGTATAACCTGTTTCTTTTTCAATAGATCAGCAACTATAGTTACAGTCAAAGCACCACTGGTGAAGTCATCAATTACTTGGGATTGAGAAAGCAAAGTTGCAGTGCTGATACTGCGTAAAGGGCTGTGTGGTGCACTTAACCTACAAGTAACAAAAACAGTCAATTATATGAGTCCATTGCATGTTCTGAATAAGTGTTATAAATAATAGATACAGTAGATTCATTGTTGTCTCATGCATTGTTATGTGTTGAGTTGTAAAATGTAGACAATAGATAACATCTCAAAACTGAAAAAGGAACTAACTGAAATTTAAAATGCATGATATTTAAAATGTATACAGTAGACAGTAGATAACATACTCAAATCCATGCTATTTAAAATCCAGACAGTAGATAAAGTTTAAAATAAAAAAAAGGCACTGACATGGTATTTAAAATATAGACAGTAAAGAGTATAACACATTATAAAGCACATGCTATTTAAGGCACTTACTGAGATTTAAAATCAGCAAATTCTTGATAAGGTCCATTCAAATGAAGTTGGGTAGCATCATAGCAGCTAGTAATTCTGATTTCACCTATTAGAATCATACATGTTAATGATTGTTGGAAAACCTAGATAAAAATCAAAAGAATAATGCAATGGCATAACTTACCATTCACCACTTTTGCCCGACAAAGTTGAAGAACCAAAATTAGGGGTTCTTGAAGACCAGAATCATAATATGGTACCATAGAAGCAACATGACTGTCCCAAACAGTGCACGGTAATGTATTTCCCCTATAGGGAATTATGTTAGAAATAATCTAATGATTAAAAATATAAGCACATAGTTGTTTGTAGAAAACTTACTGATTATCCGCCATTTTGAAATCAAGAAGTTTTGCTGGTCTGCCTCCTATTATTTTGTCCACAGGAGCATGGATCTCGACAACCCTGCCTATTAAATCTGTAAAATAACAAAAAAAATGAATAGTAGACAAATTCTTGAAATAGAAAACTTAAAAATAGCAAAAGCATGAACTATAGACTTACCAAACAACACCTTGTCATTCACTTGAGTAGGGTCTTTCAAAGAGTCATAGTTTTTGAGCTGAAACATCTTATTAGGAAAACCTTTCGATTTGATGGCCTTTACTTGAGTCTTATAGTTTAACCTGATCATATATTTGTGATCACAAGTTTTGAAAGTATAATAGTGGGTGAAAACCAGAAAGTTTTTTACAGAATAGAGCTTCCCTTCTATGAACACATTCTTATATTTCTGGACATCACTGTTTTGCATATTCAAATGTATGAAAGTACCCTGCAAGTAGGATTAGTGAAATAAATAAGACATGTGTATTGCATTAGAATGATTATAAAGCGTAAAGCTTAAACAGTTAAATAAAATCATAAGAATGACACGAAAATACCTCTTTATCACAGACCAAAACTTCTCGACTCTTGATCTCGGTGGACCCTCTGTTCTCGGCTATTTCGTAGCATCTAACACACTTCACTCTGATTGCTTTCTCCCTATCAAGCGGGCCAATGTCTTTTACTGGAACATACATTGGCATTGTTTAGTTGCTGAAAGTTTGGGTGTATTTTTTGTAAAATGCAGGTGATACGAACTGAATATATTCTGAAGTTTGGAGGGAAATTCTCCATCGACACAGGCTTATATATAGAGTATAAATCAATGGATTTCAAAATCTGGGAAGACTAAAGGGGGCTGTCGACCTTTCAGTTTTCAAGAGCAAGTTGCGGCTACATTTAAATGTTTGTGGAGAAATCGATTTCAAAGCATCTATCATTATAATTAACACTCTCGTTAGAAGTTTGTAATAATTAGAATTCTATTTAAGATTTTTTTTTTGGGTATTGCAAAAAAGTAGCCGGCTGTATTTAATTGCACGCGATTAATAACAAATTTTTCTCAGGCCATCAAACGGCGTCGTTTTCATTGGGCGGGATTTTGGCATAGGCAGAAACTTAGTGCTTTATTATAATGATAGATTAAATGAACTCGAAAGTTACAATTTTCGTCCCTAAGCTATTGGGTAATTGTAGAATTCGTCCCTAATTGTTGGTTGTGCTCACTTTTCGACCCTAAGCTATAATTGACGTCACAAATTTCATCCTTTTAATAACAAGTTGTGGTCACTCTTCGTCTCTAAGCTATACTAACGTTGCAAATTTCGTTCCTAATGTTTTGTTAGTAAAGTGACGAAATTTGCAACATCAATTACGGAGTATATTTTAGGGACGAAAAATGAGCACGACTATTAATTAGAGATGAATTCTACAATAACCCTATAACTTAGGGATGAAAAGTGCAATTTTTCCTATTTTTTATTATTATTGTATATATTTGTTGTTATATGAAAAATTCGAAAGTAATGTTTGACAATCTTAACGATCGTACTCATATAATTATATATTTCATATATTATTGCACATAGTATAATTAAAAATAATTATCAATAATAATTGACACAATCATATATGGGTATATATATAACTAGTATAGTACCCGTGCGATGCACGGGATGAATATTGTTCAAGATATTGTCTAATTTTATGAAAAATTTAAGAGATTACTATATTAAACTTTTCAAATTACAAAGTTGATATTTAAAAAACTGTAAAGGCAAAATAGTACAGTAACAATAATGAAATTACTTTAACATACAATATACAAAAATAAGTGTCACAAAATTAAAAATTATTGAAGATTTCGTGGTATACCAAAAAAAGATAACAAGCGAGCCACCATTTATGGAAAAAAAGTTAAGTGGTTTCTAGTGCTAACAGTTTAATAAAAGACATCAGATCATTGATTACATGATAGCTACAAAATATGTTCTACTGTATTTAAGTTTTTGAAAGGAGAAATACCTTTGTTTTGATGATAATGTTTCGTCTTTGACTCAATTGTGCATGAAGAAATAATCTTCCTCATGGTCTGTAACCGCAATGCTTACGCTTTTTGTTTTGTGATGGAATGTTCTGAGTGTCTTTAGCCACCCTTTTGTTTGTAGCTACGCTTATTGAGAAAGGAGTAATTAATGGCTAACTATAATTATTCCCATAATAAATATTTTATGGGAAAACAAATAGAAACCCAATAAATTCTCACCCAAATAAATCCTCAACAATATTGTGTTTTTTTTTTTTTTTTTTAGCCTTGTAATTATCAATCGTAAACGTAAATGATTAATGGAAATAAAATATGGAAGATATTAATATTCTACATACAAAAATTAAGTTGAATATTCTACATATAAATAAATAAATAAATAAATAAAAAAAAAAAAAAATATATATATATATATATATATGTATATATATATATATATATATATATATATATATATATATATATATATATAGAGGTTGATTTAATTTAAATGATTTAATTAAGGATGATTTAATTTAATTAAGAATGATCATTTGTAATACTAAATAAACTAGTATTGTCCCGTGCGATGCACGGACTAAATATTAAAGATTTGTTTGTAATGTTAGAATAGGTAAAAAATGTTTTTAATAATGGTATTTGAAGTACAGAAGAAGAAAACATGAACCACAATTTAATTGTTTAAAATTACATTTTTATTAAGTATATGACAAAATAATTATGATATTGTATTTACAATATTTAATTTAATAATTGAAAATAGTATGATACAAAAAGTTACTATTATTAATCGCAGCTAGCGGTATACGTATTTGATCTTGAGTATGTCTACTCCTAGTATGCTACCCAAGCGATGCACGGAATGAATATTGGACAATATTATAATAATATTATTTATTAAAAAATACATAACCTACTATCAACATAGTTGCAATTCATATTCGTATATATATATATATATATATATATATATATATATATATATATATATATATATATAGAGTTGCACTCGGGTGCGAACGGCTCGCCCAGGCGCGAAATAGGAATAGATTCTGTTCGTCCACGTGTCCAGATCTAATGGATGAGAAACACTGATTTTTTTAAAAAACGCGGTGGCATTTTCGTAAATAATTGAACATCGAAGTGCAAGTAAAATGTATTACAAGTGCATGTAAAATGTATTATAGGTGCAAGTAAAAATTTACACTGAGCATCAATACTTAGTTGCACTTATAGTTCTAAGTAGTTGCACCTATAGTTCTAAGTAGTTGCACACATAGGTATAAGTAGTTGCATCTAGGTGTATGAATGTTTGCGAGTGGTTTTCAGGAGTATTACTACCCGCTGAACTCAGATCAATGAATGTTAACAAGACAAAATTACATGCACTTATAGGTGAAAGTAGGTGCACATATAGTTATAAGTAGTTGCACCCATAGTTATAAATAGTTGCACATATAGTTATAAGCACACCCAGGTGCATGAATGGTTGCGGAAAGTGAATGCTAACAAGGCAAAATTACATGCACTTATAGGTGAAAATAGGTGCACTTATAAGAGATTTTACTTGCACTTCGATGTTCAATTATTTACGAAAATGCCACCGCGTTTTTTTTAAGTTATTAGATCTGGACACGTGTCACGCGCTGATTCGTTCGCATTTCCTTCCTGGGCACTTATTCGCACCTGAGTGCATCCCTATATATATATATATATATATATATATATATATACCATATGGTCTTGTGAAAATTAAATGTTGTTAATACCAACATTTAACCATTAATATCAACATTTAATTTTCACAAGCCTATATGGCTTTATTATAATTAAGATAGATTTCAAATTAATAGTATGTATTTACGTGTAAAATTAAAGATTGATTTAATTAAGGTTGATAAAATTAATGATTGACCAAGCATCACCTAAAGCAGTCTATTATTATTATTATTATTATTATTATTATTATTATTATTATTATTGTTATTATTATTGTTATTGTTATTGTTATTGTTATTGTTATTGTTGCTTTCACATTTTGGAGGGAAAATCTTTTTAGCCCATCATTTTGCTTTAATATATATAGAGAAATGTTGTTAATACCAACATTTAACCATTAATATCAACATTTAATTTTCACAAGCCTATATGGCTTTATTATAATTAAGATAGATTTCAAATTAATAGTATGTATTTACGTGTAAAATTAAAGATTGATTTAATTAAGGTTGATAAAATTAATGATTGACCAAGCATCACCTAAAGCAGTCTATTATTATTATTATTATTATTATTATTATTATTATTATTATTATTATTATTATTATTGTTATTGTTATTGTTATTGTTATTGTTGCTTTCACATTTTGGAGGGAAAATCTTTTTAGCCCATCATTTTGCTTTAATATATATAGAGAATAGAGATAGAGATAGAGATAGTGATGATATTGTATGGTTGGTATTAATGTCGACTAAGATGATAAATTTTCTCTATAAATTCGGCCCCTTCCAACCTAGACATTCTGGTTCCGCCCCTGCGTGCTATATAATCTTTTTTAATAAACCCTTCTAGTAGCTACGCCTTTCTCATCACGCTGTAAGAGAGGAACGATTTCCTCGGGAGGAAGATGAAGAATGATCGTGCCCCATGGAGAGTTCTGACCCATGTTAGCAAAAAGATCAGCACACTGGTTCCTTTCCCGAAGGGTGTGTTTGAGCTCGAAATTGGAGAACCCCTGCATGAGAGACTTGCAGTCCAAGATAAGGGCGTACGCCTCCATGAGAGCCTCGGGGTTTTTGCTGAGCACTTGGACAACAGCCAATGAATCTGTTTCTGCCTCAACTTTAGAGAAACCAAGCTGGTGAGCTAGACGGAGACCTTCGCGGATGCCCCAAAGCTCGGCCATGAAGCTGGTTGTGGAACCAATATTAGCAGTTAATGTAACACCCCGGATTTTCAAAACTTTTAAAACTTATATAATACAGGTAAATTCTCATTAAATCCCAAACAGGGCAGTACTAAACATAAGAATACGGGGTGTTATGCCACATCTGAGCTAGAGAACTCAGATGCACAGGCTAAACTATCTAATTATCCTTAAACAACATCATTACATCATTATGGCACGCAGGCCGAAGATGAAACTATCTATCTAAGCCTTGGGTCCTCTAGCGCGCTCCGGAGCTAATCGTCTGTGCCTGAAAGCCAAATATATCTGTTCAGCGAATAATGCTGGTAACCCACTCTAACGCGTTGAAATACCGTATAAGTATATATATATATATATATATATATATATATATATATATAAGAAAAGCCATTTTGAAGTAGGAAGATATATCCTAGGAAACTCTAGTTTCAAAACCGGAATAGACTCGACACATAGGGATAAGCACATTCAACAGTTACAATCAAGCATATAAAGATACTAGCATATATCCTACGGTCGCAGATTCACTTTATCTCATGTATATCATCATTCATCTCAACACACAAGCACACTTTGATGGCGCCACAGGACCAATCGCATGCCCATACATGAGGGTCAGCGCATATAGCTTTGACACGGCCCCGCAGCACCCTACCTCGTATCGCAACACGAAGGGGTCAATCGCAACCGACCGATGAACCGCAGCTCATCATAATGGTTGATCGCA